AGTATAATATATATTTAATTAATGATGGAAATTGAATTATATACACACCGGATACCGTAAAAGCGGGATACTTTGCTCCAAATGTATTACTTTTAAAGTTTAAATCTATATTACAGCTTAAATAACAAAGATAAAAATTACCTGTTCGTGTTGTTTTATATGTATACATGTTGATGGGTAAGCACAATTTAAAAAAAAATCGATTTTTGTACTAGTGACTTACTTATTTTTTCCCAAAATTTTGGAGCAAAGTTAAAATACATTGCAGGTGACATTGCACCATGATTACAATTACCTTACTTTGATGCATATAATTTCTTTAGGTGCAATGTTTAGTACCTGTGCTTTAACTTATTTGAACCTATACATAATATAATAATAAAAACTATTTTTTTTTCAGTTTATTGAAAGACTTTTTTCAATATATATATTTTAAACAAAATTACAATAGCAAACAGAACAATATTACTTTTTAACAAAATTATAACTTAACAGTCTCTTTATAATAGGTAATAATAACATAACATTCACAATAAAAATAACTTTTTTAACAATAAAAACTATTTTTGTTTTTTTTCTTAGTTTATTGAAAGACTTTTTTAATCTATTTTAAACAAAAAAACAATAGCAAACTTTAACAAATTTATAACTTAACAGTCTCTCATAATTACCATAATAGGTAATGATAATATTAAAAATATAAATAACTTTTTAAACAATACAAATAACATATTATCAGACTTATGAATTTTATATTATTATCACATAATTAAGTGGTATATTCATCCAACTCTACAACTTTAAAGTATCCTCGTATCACAAACACTGGTGGTTTTATTTTCATTAAAGTATCACTCCACTTGTAGAACATTGTATCTTCCTTAATTGGCCATTTATAAAATGCCTTAGTTTTTTCCATAGATTTGACAATGGCACCATCTACATCAATACTAGTTATTATACCTGGGTACATATTATTAAGATAATTCACAATCACAAAATTATTGACAGTATATTTGCCATCACTGGTCACTGGGCAATCATCTATATCATATACTGAACTCGATTCACCATTAGTATTAATTAGTATGGCTTCTGCACTTATATTAGCATCAATGTCTGATGACTCTTCATTAACATGTGCATAACTTGTTCCTGCAGGAACTTTAATTTTTTTCCTTTTTGTTGTAGGCTGTGTGGTTTCTGCTCTTTTAACTTTTAAATGTTCAATAAATGATTCATCAACACTAGAACTTGCATTTAAAGCATTAGGAAGTCTATTCAATAATTCTTCAACTCCACAAGGAAATATACCACATTTCCTAAATCCATTTTGTAATGTAGTTTTTAATGTTGGTTCTAATACATCCAAAAGTTTTTTTAATAATCCTGGAAATGACTGCTTTTGTAGGATTGGATTTTTTAAGCCATTAGTTGTTCCTTTCCATTCCCCAAGTATTTTTCTCCATGCCATTTTCATTGGATGAAATAGTGCAACATCTAATGGCTGGGTGAGATGCGTGCTGTTGGGTGGTAGGCACACAAAGTATATATCATTTTCTTTACACTTTTCAATGACTTCAGGTGTTAAATGGGATGACAAGTTGTCCAAAATCACAACTTTTTTACCTGGTTTTTTTTTTAAATGGCGAAGTAGTGTATTATTAAACCAATCTGTAAAAACATTTGCATCAAACCATCCAGAAGTTGTGGCATTATACCGGCAGCCTTTGGGTCCATGCTCAGTCCAATTCTCCCAAAGACCTTTAGCTTTATACACAACATATGGAGGAAGAATGTCACCAACAGCATTCCCACATATCATTAAGCTTATGCTGACTTTTGAGGTGTTACATATTCGTTCAGGATACTTTGATCCTCTTTTTACAAGAACTTTTTTTTGCCCAGGGTTATCTGTTAGGTTGGTCTCATCATAATTATATATATTTTGTGGATCAACATCAGATAGAGTTATTTTTAAATTATTTATATACTCTGTTAAGGTTTCGGCATTTACAGAGGCCCTTGACCTTTTAATATTAGAAGCTAAGCGAACACTTAAGGTTTTGTGACGTTCAATGAAATTATCTGTCCATGTACGACCAGGTAGATTGTTTTTAAAAAATTTAACGTGCCTACCATTTCTGTCCAAATATGACTTAATAATAAATTTAAGATCAGTCTTATCAATAGGAAAGCCATATTCACTCATAACATGAATGTTTCCAACAAAATTCTTCTCCTCTGGTTCAGTAAATACAGTGGGACGTCCCACAGGCTGTATATGATGGGCTTTTAATTTGTTAATGATTGTTCGCCGAGGAATTTTGAATGCTTTTTCAGCTTCTCGTTGAGTCATTTGTTTGGTCTTCACAGCAAGTAAACAACGTTGTAGTGTGTGTTCTGTATAGTTTTTATAGTGCCTTGAACCCACTGTTCGTTTGTACTTGTTAGGCATGCTAAAATAAAATAAAATAGTAAATAAAAAAAATGTTTGGAGCAAAGTTACATGAAATTCTATGATTTTTGGTTTATTTATCAAAATACAGATATATATTTAAAAATAACAATACAATTGTAGCAAATTATATATATTTTTGAAGTTCAGAAGGTGTATTACTAATAAAAATACGTTTTACCTAGATATTAAATTAATGGTATAAGCTTATCTGGAAGTTCGTCTGCCAACTCATCTGCAGCCATATCTAAATCACACAATGGTATAAACGCCAGCGCAATAATTGTTTTGGTTGCAACACAAAAGTTTGCTTCATTATTATATTTTGACAGTAAATGTAACTCTCCAACTTTTTTCAAAAAATTTTGGCTTAA